GTAATGACAGCCCTCGTTCCATGTCCTCTTCTGAATTTGGCTTGATTTTCTGGCAGTTCCCCGTCGACGTATTGCTACAACCACTTTTGAATGATCTTCAGTAAAATTCTACTTTTGTGTGGTATTAATGATATTGTTCGATAATTTCCACATTCTGTTGGATCACCTTTCTTTGGAATGGCCACAAATATGATCTCTTCCAGTTGGTTGGCCAGGTAGAGCTGTCTTCCAAATTTCTTGAGTGCTTCCAGTGTTGCATCCGTTTGTTGAAACATCTCAATTAGTATTCTGTCATTTCCTGGAGCCTTGTTTTTCACCAATGACTTCAGTGCAGTTTGGATCTCTTTTTTCAGTACCATCGGTCCTTAGTCATATGCTACCTCCTGAAAAGGCTGAATATCAACCAATTATTTTTGGTACAGTGATTCTGTGTATTCCTTCCATCTTCTTTTGAGGCCTCCTGTGTCATACAATATTTTGCCCATAGAATCCTTCAAAATTGTAACTCAAGGCTTAAATTTTTAATTCAGTTCTTTCAGCTTGAGAAATGCTAAGCAGTTCTTCCCTTTTTGTTTTTTAACTCTAGGTCTTTGCATATTTCATTATAATACGTACTTTGTCTTCTAGAGTTGCCCCTTGAAATCTTCTGTTCAGTTCCTTTACGAGATCATTTCTGCCTTTCACTTTAGCTACTCTACATTGATGAGCAAGTTTCAGAGTCTCTTCTGACATCCATTTTGGTCGTCTTTTCTTTCCTGTCTTTTTAATGACTTTTTGCTGCCTTCATGTACAATGTCTGTCTTAGTTATCTAGTGCTGCTATAACAGAAATACCACAAGTGGATGGCTTTAATAAAGAGAAATTTATTCTCTCGAAGTCTAGAAAGCTAGAAATCCAAATTCAGGGTGCCAGTTCCAAGGGAAGGCTTTCTCTCTCTGTCGGCTCTGGGGGAACATCCTTGTCATCAATCTTCCCCTTGCCTAGGAGCTTCCCGCAGGAACCCTGCATCCAAAGGACATGCTCTGCTCCCGGTGCTGCTTTCTTGGTGTCTCTCTGCTTGCTCTACTCTTTTATATCTCAAAAGAGATTGACTCAAGACACAACCTAAACTTGTAGATTGAGTTCTGCCTCATTAACATAACTGCCTTTATCCTACCTCATTAACACCACAGAGGCAGGGTTTACAATACATAGGGAAAATCACACCAGATAACAAAATCATGGACAATCACACAGTACTGGGAATCATGGCCTAGCCAAGCTGACACACATTTTGGGGGGACACAATTCAATCCATAAAATTCCACCCTTTGGACACCAAAAATTCATATCCTTGCCACATTCACCCCATCATATCATAGCAAAAGTCTTAAAGTAACTCCAAGTCCAAAATCTAAAAATTCCTCTTCATCTGTGAAATCTAGAATACAAGTTATCTGCTTCCAAAGCACAATGGTGGAACAGGCACAGGCTAGACATCTCCATTACAAACGGGAAAAATTGGAAAGAAAGAAAGGATAACAGGCACCAAGCAAGTCAGCAGAACACATAACATTAGCTCTCAAGGCTTGAAAATAACCCTCTGTTCTCTGAGACCACTTGGGCAATGGCCCTGCCCTCCAAACTCTAGGTTTTGGCCACACTCTCTGTATTCTGGGGGGAGGTCCCTTGACACTGGGCTTCAGCTCCACCTTCCAGGCCCACTGGAATGGCAACTCTGCTCCCTTGAATTTGGGCGGCCTCATTCTCCTAGTGCATGGAAGTGGTGACTCCACCTTCTGAGACCCCAGGGGTCATGGCCCCATCTTTTGAGACTGAGGCAGCTCTGATTCCTGTGTTCCTTGTCTCTTCAGCTTCTGCTTCCTTGATACTGGTGCAGTGGAGTGCCTCCAGGCACTTATCAGTGGAGCTAAAGAACATGGGCAGCAAGGCCCAAGGGGCCAAGAGGCCAAGGAACCAGGAAGCAGAAGCTGAAGAGACAAGGACCACAAGAAGCAGAGTTCCCTCAGTCTCAAAGGGTAGGGCTACGAACTCTCAAGTCTCAAAGGGTGGAGTTACTACTCAGACGGACTAGGAGAAGTTGTGGAATAACATCAAGGGTGTTGTCTTAGTTATCTAGTGCTACTATAACAGAAATACCACAAGTTGATGTATTTGCAATGAAGAAATCATTGGTCTTCCAAAATTCTATCATGTGATCTCCAGTGTCCTTTCTATCACCAAGGCCATATTTTCCAACTACTGATCCTTCTTCTTTGTCTCCAATTTCCACACTCCAATCAACAGTAATTATCAATGCATCTAGATTGCATGTTTGATCAACTTCGGACTGCAGAAGTTGATACAAATCTTCAATTTCGTCATCTCTGGCCTTAGTGGTTGGTGCATAAATTTTAATAATGTTCATATTAACTGGTCTTCCTTGTAGGCTATGGATATTACCCTATCACTGACAGCACTGTACTTCAGGATAGATCTTGAAATGTTCTTTTTCATGATGAATGCAATGATATTCCTCTTCAATTTGTCATTCCCAGCCCCTGCTACTGTCAAAATAAATGTTTGGCTCATTCAACTCTTTCATTGCTAATATCCCAGCTTGCTGGCATCTGGGGAGGCCCAAAGTGGTTTCCCATAAAGGAAAACCCATACTGTAAAATCAGAGACAGAAATCTGAAAGTCATCCACATATCCTGAGATTTAACTCTAGGCCAAAGTAGCTTACCTGTGTTACTAAGATCTATGGCTCACTTGCTCAAATACCTATTGAGCATCTTGTATATGTAAAGGTGTGGGGCTCTGTATTTGTTTGAGGTGGTCTAGGATAACAGTGAGTGAGCACTAAGCTAGCTGTCAGGAGAGCTGAGTCATAATCTCAGCTTTGGACCTAATTTCCTGTGTGTCCTTAACTTCTTTTGCAATCTTTGAAATCTCTTCCAGATCTAACATCTTATGATCATCGCTTCCCTAAAACCATGAAAAATATTTCTTTTAACTCCTATTATTCTACGCATCTCCTTGATGGTCCAGCTAAAGAACCCAGCAGTGAGGGGTGGTTATGAATAAATACAAGAGGAAGTACTCCCGGATCTGCCAATTCCTACATCACTGAAGATCCATGTAACAGATGAACCTCCTTTCTTGCAGCCAGGAGAAAGCAGCCCAACATGAAAGAGCTGGACAACAGCAGAGTAAGGTGCAAAATAAGGGCCTTTGGTAGTGAGGCCCCTCAGTGTGGTCAACAAGAGCAGCTTAGGTGGGTAAGCAGGTTCTCTGCTGTCAAGCACTCGCCATCATGGAGGCAGACAGTGAAAATAATGAGGATTTTAAAAGCAGGCTGTGTGATCATTCCGCTGAAGATCACATCATAAATTCTGAATAGCAGAAAAAGAAAAAACATCCCTTCTCATGGAAGCCTTCTGGTGGAATAGACAACATTTTAGCAAGACAGCCAAATATCTTCCTGAATTCCACGACATTATGAACCATGATTTATAATCCATTCTGGGTTAAGCCAGGTCAAACACCACCCCCATCATTCTCATCCACGTCTTCCTCTCTTGTAATTTTCACTCTACTCGTCCTGCCTCCCTCCTAAAAGGCAACTCTGATCCTCATTGCATAGGCCAACATATGCAAGAAAGGTGTATGAGGCTAAAAGTAGTTCATCTCTACATCTACAAAATAACAAAAACTAGCAAGATTTTAGTAGTCCCTCTCTCTTCCAAAGGAGTCCTGATGGTGCAGTAGTTAAGCACTTGGCTGCTAACCAAAAAGTCAGTGGTTTGAACCCACCAGCTTCTCTGTGGGAGAAAGATGTGGCAGTCTACTTCCATAAACATTACAGCCTTGGAAACCCTATAGGGCAGTTCTACTCTGTCCTATAGGGTCTCTATGAGTCGGAATCAACTCAACGGCAATGGGTTTGGTTTTTTGGTTTCTTTATTCTAATTCTTATGGAAACAGAGAACCCATAGGATTGACAGAGGACAAGCTTGGGTAGGGACTGCTAGGAGCTATTGTGTGTTATTAATAATAATAAATGACATTTACCAAGAATCCAATATGTTCTGGAATCTAGGCTAACTGCCTTTATTTGCATGACCTTATTTAATCCCTCACCAGCCGCTCTGTAGGAGAAGGATGTTGCAGTCTGCTTCCATAAAGATTATAGCCTTGGAAACCCTAGATTCTACTCTGTCCTATACGGTCACTCTGAATCAGAATCCACCTGATGGCAACAGGTATACAATCCCCACAAGGACTCCAGGAAGTTGAAACTATTATTATACCATTTTTACAGATGGGAAAATCAAGGCTGAGAGGTGAAGGAACTTAGTAAAGAGCAGAACCAAAAGACAGTAATCCTTCTAAACAGACAAGCTGTCCACACCTCCCTGGCCCTATCCAGCCTCCAGTCTACTCTCCCTGGGCATGTGAGCTCAGGGCCTCTTACTCATTCTCTGCTCAAGTGGCCCTCCTGTCAGCTGCTGGTTTCCCCTGCCCACATCACAGGCAAACCATTGACAATTGGGAGGAAACCATCCCCGATACTGTCAGGAGATACACAACCTGCTCCATGCATGTCAATTGTGAGTCCCCAGCAGATCTTTGCCATACCTACCAAGGTAATGCCTTCCAAACCCCAATCAGCAGTTTTAGCATATTGTCCATGCAAGTACAAATGAAGTTTGACCCATTTTTGTTTAGGATTAGTAGGAATGATTAGCCAGCTTCAGGCTACTGAGGGTGTAACCAGATGCATACTGTCATTTCTGCTCAGGGAATGTGAAAATGCTTCACGAACACTGAAACATCTATTTTCACAAGGTGCCACAATCACCACCATCTTCTCCTTCACATTAAGGAACTCAAGCTTCGCACCCAGAGGCAGACAAGCTGAAGGCTCTGCAGAGAAGTTGACCACAGTTTTCTACAATCTGAATTGAATTAAAGAATTTATATATATCAGGTGGAATGAACACATGGTCTTCACTTACCTTTTCTATCTCCTGAAGGTACAGGAGTGCAATGTCCCCTGCTTTCTCATAACAGGTGATGACATCCTGTTCCCGGTCCACATGGAGGTTACTGGTAGAAGAGGAAATAGGCAACTTCTCTAAACAAAGTCCTAAAAAATATGAGACACAAAAACTGAGTAAGTTCTTTTTCTTGGGGCTTAATTTTTAATATTGCAATAGAAGGCCAGAAAAGGGTCCCAGGATATCATAGGCTGTCAGAAAAGCAGACTCTCCACCCACTCTCTTTAGGGACAAAATAGAACATTAAAATAGAGCCCCAAAAGAAATATACATAAATTACAGAAGAAAGAGAACCTTAAATATACAGAAAGCTCCATGTGACTTTGATATCTGGGTTGAGAAATTGACCAGGTACTTTACCATGACCCCATTCAGACCTAAGAAAGACTTCCATTCAAATATGTCCCAAGGTCTTAAAGAATTTATTTAAAATAAGTAAAGCTAGGGTCACAGAAAAATACTAACTAAAGGAGTATCTTCTAACCTAAAATGTACACTTGATCAAATGAATTATAACAAGAGTCCCAGTTACCAGGAAAATCTTCCAGCAATAGGTCAACTCTCCATCTTGGCGTTCTGCAGGAACACATAAACCAACTCTTAGTTCTGGGTCAAAGAAACACCCAGAGCCTATTTTATGGGCATTTCTTTGGAGATGGAGGAGATAACTCCTTATAAAGAGAGATTTCAAGGGTGGGACACAGGAAAGCATGAAACGCTGGAAAAACAAGAATGCTGAGAGAAGCAGCTGTGCTCTGAACCCAGCACCAACCTCTGCCCCTGACCCCAGCGATCAGCCTGCAGCAGGTCAGGCTCTGTGTCACCACCCACAAAGGGAAGCAGAGAAAGTCCTCTGTGATGTATGTACACACATATTACACACATTCCACTCCATGTCAAAGTGTGAGAGATCTAATATTGACAGAAACGGGGTACTGAATTAGAAGGGACCAGAGAGATTGCCTGGCCAAACCCACTGATTTTACTGATGAAGACACTGAGATCTGCCAGGGTCCAAAATCTCAGTCAGTTAACGGGAGAACCGAGACCAGAACTTGGGTCTTTGGCCTCCCAGACAACACCCATCATGTTGGTTGCTGATTTCGGAGCAGACACCACTACAGAGAGTGGACCGGACACACTAAACATGTGAAAATGACCCATAGCCTCATGCACATCCCTTTGAGAATGGTTTCACCCAAGTGGCTCTGATCAGTGATAGTCCCTCTAGGCTGAAGAAAGCCACAGGAGATGTACTTCACATGAAGGAGAAACCACTTCTATTCTCAGGGAGCCAACAATGAAGGACAGTGTAACCGGGAGCTCAGAGGTTACCGCTTTGCCACAGAAGGACCACCTAGATTTTCTCCTATGCTATCTTCCAGAAGTTTTATAGTTTTGTGTTTTCCATTTAGGGCTATGATTCATTTTAATTTCTGTGAAAGGTCTGAGTCTGTATCTAGAATTTTATTTTTGCATGTTGATGACCAGCTGTTCTAGCACCATTTGTTGAAAAAACTATCTTTTCTCATTGAATTGCCTTGGCTCCTTTGTCAAAGATCAGGTGGCTATATTTGAGTAGGTCTATTTCTGGGCTCTCTTCTTCTTTTTTAAATTTTATTTTGTTGTTGTTGTTGTTGTTGAGAATATACACAGCAAAACATACACCAATTTAACAGTTTCTACATGTACCATTCAGTGACACTGATCACACTCTTCAAGTTGTGCAACCATTCTCATCCTTCTTTTCTGAGTTGTTCCTCCCCCACTAACATAAACTCACTGTCCCCTAAGGTTTCTATCTAATCTTTCAAGTTGCTGTTGTCACTTTAATCCCATATAGTTATTAAAAGAGCTTAATGCTCAAAGTAGACATTTTTTACTAATTAAACTAAACTCGTGTTGGTTTTAAGAAGACTACAGGGGATATTTCAGGCTTAAGGTTTAAATATTATCTCAGGGCAATAGTTTTAGGGGTTCATCCACCCCCTATTGCTCAAGAAAGTCTGGAGTTCATGACAATTTGAAATTCTGTTCTGCATTTTCTCCCTTTTGATCAGGATGCTTCTATAGAATCTTTGATCAAAATGTTCAGTTATGGTAGCTGGCCACCATCCATTTCTTCTGGTCTCATGGCAAAGGAGACAGTTGTTCATGGAGGCAATTAGCCACACATTCCATTTCCTCCTCCTGTTCCTGACTCTCCTTTTTCCTCTGTTGCTCCAAGCAAATACAGTCTAATTGTTGTGCCTTGGATGGCTGCTTGCAACTTTTAAGACCCCAGGCACTACACAACGAAGAAGGAGGTAGAACAGAATCACTAAACACATTATTAGGCTGATTAACTGGGATGGCCCATGAAACCATGACCCTAAACTTCCAAACCAAGGAACTAAATCCCATGAAATATGTGTTGTACATATCTGGGCTCTCTTTTTTGTTCTACTGATCTATTTGTCTTTTCTTTCACCAATACCATGTTGTCTTGATTACTGTATGCCATTTTTTAAAACCACTCTATTGAGGTAAGGAAACCCTAATGGCATAGTGGTTAAGAGTTCAGCTGCTAACCAAAAGGTATGCAGTTCGAATCCACCAGGCGCTCCCTGGAAACACTATGAGGCAGTTCTACTCTGTCCTACAGGGTTGCTATGGTCCTAGTCGACTTGATGGCAATGGATCTGGGTTTTTTTTAAATTGAGGTATAATTCTCATTCTATAAAATTTGCTAATTTTATGTGCATAATTCAATGATTTTTAGTAAAATTATAGCTGTGCAACCATCATCACAATCTCATTTTAGAACATACCTGTTACTCCATGTTATCTTTCCTGCCCAACTGTAATCAATCCTTCATTCCCACCCCCAGCCTCAGACAACTACTAATCTGCTTTCTGTCTCTATAGATTTGCCTTTTCTGGACATTTCATATAAATTGAATCATATAATCATGGATTTTTTTGTGTTCAGTTTCTTTTACTGGGTAGTGTTTTCAGGGTCCACTCATGTTGCAGCATGTATCAGCACTTGGTTTCTTTTTAGTGCCAAATAATATTCCACTGTATGGATATACCACATACTGTTTACCTATTCATAAGTTGATAAACATTTGAGTTGTTTCTACTTTTTGACTATTATAAATAATGCTTCTATGAACATTCATGTATAATTTTTTGTATGGATGTATGTCTTCAATTTTCTTGGGCAGGTACCTAGGAGTGGAATTGTTGTTACGTCAGATGGTAAATGTTATTTTTAACTTTTTATGAAACTGCCAAAACTGTTTTTTTTAAGTGACTGCACTTTTTTACATTCCCACTAGTAATGTATGAGGATTCTAGTTCCTTCACATACTCACCAACACTTCTTATTGTCTGATTTTCTTATTATTGCCCTGCTAGTGAGTATGAAGAATTGATGCCTCTGAATTACGGTGCTGGAGAAGAATATTGAATATACCACCAACTGCCAAAAGAACAAACAAAACTGTCTTGGAAGAAGTACTGCCAGAGTGCTGCTTAGAAGCAAGGATGGCGAGAATACGTCTTACATGCTTCGGACATGTTGTTAGGACGGATCAGTCCTTGGAGAAGGACATCATGCTTGGTAAAGCAGAGGGTCAGCGAAAAAGTGGAAGACCCTCAACGAGATGGACTGACACAGTGGCTGCAACAATGGGCTTAAGCACAACAGCGATTGTGAGGATGGCGCAGGACCAGGCAGTGTTTTGTTCTGTTGTACACAGAGTCGCTATGAGTTGGAACCGACTCAATGGCACCTAACAACAACAGTGAGCATGAAGTGGTATCTCAGTGTGGTTTTGATTCCCACTTCCAAACTAAGTAACGATATTGACCCTCTTTTCATGCACTTACTTATTTGCTACCCATCTATCTTACCTGATGAAGTGTCTATTAAAATCTTTTGCCCATTTTTATTGAGTTGTTTCTTATTATTGAGTTTTGAGAGTTCTTTATACAATCTGGATACAAGACCTCTATTAGATAAATAATTTGAATATATTTTCTCTCAGTCTGTGGTTTGCTTTCTTCATTCTCTATTTTTCTTCTGAAAAACAGAAATTTTTAATTTTGATGAAATCCAATTTATCAACATTGTTTTATGGATTGTAATTTTGACTTCATATCTAGGAAATCTCTGCATAACCCAAGGTCACAAAGGTTTTCTCCTAGAACTTTAATGGCTTCACATCTAGATCTGTGATCCATTTTGACATGATTTTCATATATATTGCAAAGTATGTATCAAAGTTTACTTCTTTGCAAACAGATATCCAACTGTTCCAGTACCGTTTATTGAAAGTTTTCCTTTCTCCGCTGAATTGCCTTTGTACTTCTGTGAAAAATCAAATGGGCATATACATGTGGGTCTATTTCAAACTCACTATCCTGTCCTAATGATCTATTTATCTATAGTTATGCCAATATTAGGCAGCATCTTTATAATAAGTCTTGAAGGTAGTGTTAGACCTTGAACTTTATTCTTGTTTTCCAAAGTATTGTGACTATCCCAGGTCCCATTTCCACATAAAATCTGTTTGTCAATTTCTACTAAAGAAAAAAAAAGTTTGCTGGAATTTTGATTGGGATTGTGTTCAGTCTACAGATCAATTTAGTAAGAACTGACATCTTAACAATATTGAGTCTTCCGATTTATGAACACTGTATTGTCTCTCTGCAATGGTTTGTACTTTTCAGGATACAGGCCTTGCAAATCTTTTCTCAGATTTAACCTTAAATATTTCATATTTATTGCGAAAATGTTTTTTATTTCAATTTACCATCACTGTTCATTGCTAGACTACAGAAATACAATAGATTTTTGAATACCGATCTTAAATCCTGCAAGCTTGCTAATTCACTTATTAGTTCTACTACCATTTATGTAAAAAGACTCCATCAGATCTTCTACATAGACAATCATGTTATCTGCAAATAAAGACAGTTTTACTTCTTCCTTTCCAACCCAGATGCTTTTTTATTTCTGTTTATTGTCTTATTGCACTGGCAAGAAACTACAGTACAATGTTAAATACAAGTGGTAAGAGCAGACATCCTTATCTTATTC